CTAAACAATTTATATCACTTGATATGTCATTTTTACAATCGCCATAAACTCCTCCAACTAAATGTGCCACCATAACTGTAAACCATACAATTAATTAATATTTGAACACAACTAATACTAACAATTTTTATACATCATTAACTATTAAAAATTAATTAAAATACAAATTTAATACCTTCTACAAATTCAATTTGCATGATAACATAATACACATCTGTATCTTTGAATGACAAATGAAAAAAATAGGTACCTACTTGAGAATTTTTTTCTCGTCAAATCACAACTTATTTTTATTCAATTTTTGTTTTTTATAAAATATTTATATTTCATTGCTATCCATAAATATACAAATAATAGGAAACAAATAACAATGATCAACTCAACGTAATTTTSAAGGAGCCTACATTAGTAATACAAAGAAGTTATTAGTTAAGTAGTTTGCCCTGATCCAAATATTGAATACTTTATAGAAAATAATAATTATACAACTTATCAGTAAATTTACATAGTAAAATTTAAGTTGTATAACTTCTGAAATATACAAAATAATTAGGCGTCAATGCTTTTTATTTGTTGTTTTTTTAATATTTTATCAATAAAAATTATAATTAGATAAAATTTTATCAATTTAAACAACTTTTTAAAAAGTATTATTAATTAATTTAAAATTAACACTAATGCTTACACGATATTGATAATTTGTATAAATCTCCAATAAGATTTCGAAGCACTTGTCCATCACTCAATTCCCATTCATTTAATAAATCATTAATTACAATTTTATAAGATTTGATGAAATTTACATTCAAATCTTTTAACATAATTTTATTTAATATTTGTCTATATTTCCACCATTCTTTTTCATCCCTAAAAACAGTAAAAACAAATAAACTATAACATTCAAATGAATAAAAAATTAAAGATTAGAAATAATAATTTTATTTAATGTAATATCTGTTGATATAACTATATTAATTAAATATTGTTAGTTGTGGATTTTTATAAGATATATCAATTTACTTTACAATAATTATTGACAATATAAATTATAGTATGAAGTTGTTAATACTATAATAATTTACATGAAATAAAGTCCACGTTGTTGGCCATATGTATCATTATAAAGTAACCATGCTTCTGGTAAAATATGTTTGGGAAATTTTCCTTCTTGTGCAAATAATAATTTCATATCCAAAGGGTTGCTAATCCAAATTGCATCAATAGGACCAAGTTTTTCTCTAAACACTGAACCATATTGTTGATGACGTTTGTCAATATACTCATGTAATTTACGGCCACCACCAGCAGCCAAAATTGAAAACATTGTACCAACTACTGGTAAACCTTTAACAACTGGTATTTCTTTTTTTGATTCAGTTCTTACATTTTTTAAATTTGATGTGGACATAAATCTTGTTTTAGTACAGTTTACTAAAACTAATGAGCAATATCTATTAGCCATTTTAAAAATACTTTTAAATGTTGTAGACTATAATGCTGCTATTATCTGAATATACATAAAAAAAAAAAATTTTWAAATCAAATTAGTTGAATAATTATAATTATATAAACTAAAAATAAGCAATAAAAATATTTATCAAGATTGGTAGGTATATAAAAACATATTATGAATTAAATAAAATTATTAAAAAAATAAAAGTTATATGAAATATTCATTGGCGCAACTAGGTCTAAAATATTGGTGGGGGGGGGGGGCTGAAGCCCTACAAATAAATTTAGTCTATGTGTATATTTGTACAATATACTTTTGAATAACTCTCTGCATCATATACTAATATTATTTAGTATGTATCTCACTATCCCATTCTTAAATTATCATTAAATTTTAAATAATCAAAAAAAATTGGGGGGGAAGGCTAAGCGCCCCTAAGTCCCCCCTAGTTGCGCCAATGGAAATATTTAAATTAATGAGTCAAAAATAAAAATAATAATTAAGTAGAGAGAAACAGTACAAAATGTTTGTATTAGGTAAACCAGAGCTCATGAGTTCATGCCCTAAAAATTCCAAAATAAGTTAAATAGTAAAGAGTTGGTAAAGATAAATTAATATGCATAATAAAATATAAAAATACATTATTTCCAAATAGTAAAAAAACCTCTAAATATGTGAAATAAAACTTCATATGCTTAACCACAGTATCTTAAAATGGATTTCTATATCATCTAGTATTAAATATGACTGAGCAAGATTAATATACAAATGCATGAACTCACGAGCCATGGTAATAAGTACTAATGACTAATGAGTATTTAATAATTAATTAATATTAGGCATGCACCTACGGGCTACGACAATTATAAGGAATTCTTATAATTATTGTAGTACCTGCCTACCTATTACAATAAAGTCATAACAATCTGAGTGCAGATTGTAATATTTGAAATAAAACCAATTAAAAAAACAATCTGATTAATTATTATCATGGTCCATACTTCCATACAAGTCTGTTATGACTGTAACTTATGTCTATTGTGTGTATTAACTATTAATAAAACATTTTGAATATATTGTGTAAATAATTTAGTATTATACAAATCATCAAAGTTCATGTAACAATTCAGTATATATTGGTAGGTATTCAAAATGAAAATAAAACTTCTARTTAAATATCTCAAGTCTTTAATTAATTTTATATATTTAATTATTTAGTAGTGATTTATCATTCTCTATTTCAGCTGATAAAAATACAATTTGAGTTTTGGTCTTAAGAGGACGTGATACCCGCATGTGTTGTCTCCGTCTTACAAATGCGTAACATGGTACATTTTTCGCTCAGCAGAACACGTGTAGCTCCGTTAACTTAAAAATTAGAGTGAACTGACCTCTTATAAAATTTAAAGGTAAGATTATTATCTAGACAACCTCATATGATTTTTTTTTTATATCAAATTTAAAGCGAGTTATGAGTATTTTAAAATTGTGAATTTTTTGTGCATCTTAAAATACTCATAACTTCCTTTAAAAATTAAATATATTAAAAAGCATATGAGGTTGACTAGATAACAATCATACCTTTAAATTTTATAAGAGGTCAATTCACTCTAATTTTTAAGCAAACGGAGCTACACATGTTCTGCTGAACGTAAAATTTACTATATAATGCACTTGTAAGACAGAGACAACACATGCGGKTAACACTTCCTCTTATATATTAATCTCATCTGTAAAATACCATCGTACTTTAAGAGTAAACAACACTAGTTATCTGGGAGTCCTTTAATTTGCTAAGTGCTAATAGATAATATATACAAATTTAGTGTGCAGCCACCAAATTGGCAAATTGTAATATAAATTATTTTATAGATAGATAATATATATACCAACATCTTTCATAATTTAATAATCATAATTCTAATTTTAGATTTAGGTTATAAAATAAACTTACTATTTTAAAAATATTGAATTATTATACCTATATAATAGAAATGGTAAAGATTTGATAAGCATAAATATCAAACTAAAAATTGTGACAATCACAATGCTCAAAAAAATTCAATACGCACGATTGTGGAAAATAGTATTTAAGTACCTACTTATTATTAATAACTAAAAACCATACAAGACTTAGTAAGGCGATTCTATTTATGTTAGCGWAATTTAGATTTACGTTATAGCACCAAACCTGTATAATAAATTTAAATTTTAAATTTACCAACTGGTTTCTGAAAAAAAAATATAGTTCAATTTGTTTTATAAAAAATTGGATTTTTACTTTTTTAACTCATCTGCTAAATTATTATTAAATAAGTATAATATTATAATATAATATATAAACGTAAATAAATTAATAAACACAAACTAAAAACTAAGAAGCAACTATATGAGTAATATATTATAAATATTAATAGATTAGGATATCCCCATGTATAAATAATAAGAAACATTTATAATTGTATATCTTACTATCTTAGCGTGTGCCGTGTGGTTCGTGCTATAGTGCTAATAATTGGGTAATTAACTTAAGACAATTTAAAACCAGATAAATAACGAATTGGAAAAAGTTAATAGGTCACGATATAAGATTAAAGATAGCAAGGTATTATCTCATTAACTGATTAACTGAAAATCATAAACACGAACTAATGCCGGATCACATAAACAATAATTATTTAATGTATCAATCATGGTTCTCTAAATTATGCTTAGATCTCTATTGATTCGTTAAATCTTTAGTGATTATTCATAAAACTCGGCATAAGATCAAAGATCTTTATCTTATAATTAACAAATATATTATATAAGCCATACAATTATCGAATAATAGAATATTTGAATGGATTGGAAATGAACAGTCGAGTACTATAGTATGGCACTATATACTTATTTATAATCAATGTATCCAATATTCAATGATTATGGTTAAAATTTACAAAATAGGTTCTTAGATTTTCTAATCTAAGAGTCTAAGACCGTTGTACCGCAATTGAGCATTGAGCAGGAAAAATAAAAATGTAGCAAGTGGGAAAAACGACTAACTGCCTGACTGGAGTAGTGGACTAGTGGAGTCCGGCATTCCGGCAATCCGGCACCCCGGCGTCAATGCGTCTAACTCTAACACCGGGAGTAACACACAAAGACATTATTACATTAACTAGATAATAGATAATGCATAATATAGGTAGCGCTAGATTCGCACTTGCTGTATTAATATTTAACTCCCCTCATCCCCCTCGCAAAAGCCAGATAATGATTATTCAAACCTTGTGATTTGTGAAATGTGAATGTTGATGTTGATTAGGCTTTCGTTTCCACTTTTCCAATCTGTTATTTATTAGTCCTTACTCTGTGACCATAAATCATAAAAATTACTAAATTACTGTACAATAGTTTAGATTATGGAATTTCAGGCAACAGCTTGCTCGTCGCTTACTAGTTACTCCAGGAGTCGCGGACTATTTAGTATTTACTGAGTATTTAGTATTTACTGTTTTAATATTACGTCATTATTATATACTAAATATGTAAWATGTATCACGAATACAAAACCGAGGCCAGTATAGTCAACATTTAAATTAATAATGTTACAAAAATACCAACACTGTTTTGATTTTTATCAAGATATCATCATATGATTAATTTTGTCAGGTGAGGGAAAAATGGGTGTTATCTGGTTATCATGTGATTGTAAAGTGCAAATAGCAAATTACAATTTATAAAGTATATAATATCATACCTTTATCGGCTTTATCCTAATACTTGTCTACCTATGTAGTACAAACTTCAAAGTTCATCTAGGTTTTCGATTTTAATTTAAAACTTTTTAGTGTTTTTTATAGAATAGTTCAGTTTCCATTTTTATGTTTAATTGTTGGTGAATGGTGATTTGTTTTTTACAGGAACAACCATGAATTTATAAATTTAACAATGTTTAAGATAAATGGAAACCATTTGACTTTAATTGGTGTAACTGGAGCTGGATTAGCATTAGTAGCCTATGTATTATTTGGTCCATCAAATAAACCAAAATCTACAAGAAAAAGTTGGTTAACATAAATATTTAAATAAAATTAATTGTGAATTATAGTTGTATATAAACGTTATGATTAGTAATATAATCATTTTAAATAAAGAAATAAAAATTTAATTTCTTATTAATTTTCATTAATATATTTTAAACAAAAATAAGAATGAACTGAATACAAACATTTTACTTAGTAATTAGTATACCTATAGACTACTAAAGGTTAGATTGAATTATATTTAAATAACATAGTTTATAAATTTAAAATACATAAGTACTCTTTAATGTTGAAGTACATATTGTTACTCTGCCGCCCATATATTTTAGAACACATTTTTTTACTTTACCCTAAAAAAAAAAATAATAATTAAAAGTACTGTTCTTTTGATTATATTTTTAATTTTTTAATTTATTAATTAGGTACTGTGTAGAAATATTTAATGTATTTACAAAATCAAAAACTATTTTATGAAACTAGTATTAACATTATCACAATTTTGAAAAAATCAATGTTTTCAATGTAAGTAACACCAGGTTCGGCTTAGGCACACATTTTAAAGACATAAGTTAAAAATTAAGCATGGATGCTAAGCCAAACATAAATATCAGAACAGATTATTAACCTATTGCCAATCTTAAAGATGAGAACGCTATCTGTATTTTTTCATGACTTAGTTTAACCTTAAATATAAACTAATAAATATAATTATTATATATGTTTATTACATTGTTTAATATTTTCACCATTAAATTTGATGATGAATTTACTTCATTTTTAAAAATAACAAAAGCGAAACCATATCTATTATGCCTAAAATATGTCAGTATATTGTTTTTTTTTATTATGTATACCTTTGTAAAACTAAAAATTTACAATATTTTAACTTAAAATAACACAAAACTGTATAGACTAATATTTATTTTATTTGCAGGTGGTTTTTGTGGATTACAAAATTTGGGAACTACTTGCTATTTAAATACTTTATTACAATCGCTTGCTTCTTGTCCTTTGTTTGTCGAGTGGCTTGATCAACAATCTAAGTCTTCAACTGTGTCTTACACATTGAATAAAACACTCAAATGTAAGGTTTTTGAGGAATACATTTTTGTAAGACTATATTTTTAATGATAAAGTTTGAAAAAAAATACAAACCAAGTTTATGTATGAAGTTTTATATAATATAGTAATATTATACATATGCTTTTTAATTTTTATAGTATCACTAACCACCCAATTTTATTGAAATAAAGTTAAAATATTACAATCAAATTTAATGTTTTTGATGATATTAAAATATTATCTGTTTTACATAAAATGTCTTAATAGAGTGGTATTAATATGCTCTAACAAATATTTTGATAAACCTGAATGGTCTCATCCATTATAAACACTTTTTTTTTGTCCATACATTACTGAACTAAAATAATCTTTTTTTTTTTTTTTTAATTTAAAGTTTTAACAGGAGCTAGATACAATGATGATGGTATACTTTCTCCAATAGAATTAGTAACTGAATTGACTAAAGTTGGATTTCATTTCAAACCAAACCTTCAAGCTGATGTTCATGAATTATTTATTCATTTATTTTCTGTCATTGAAGATGAAGCATACAAATCAAGTTGTAGTGTAAGCTTACTACTTTATTAAAAGTGTAATTTATATAAATTGTGTATAACAATACCATGTAATAAAATAATTTTTTTTAGTTGGCTGATTGTTTAGAAACTAATGAAAATTTATTAGAAAAAGGAGATATGCAGAATTCAATGAAGATTATAAATAATTTCAACTTAAATGTATATAATCCATCAAAAGCTGAAAGAAATTTATCAGAAAATACAGCTGCAATATCTAATAATATTTTAAATATTTCTGGGTATTATAGTTATTATAATAATTTAAAGTTTTTATTTTTTTCAATAAATTACGAATTATTATTATATTATTACAATTATTATTTTTAAAATTATTAAATATTATATAGAATGGATAATTTAAATTTTTATTTTTTTCAATAAATTAATTTTAAATAATTATTTTATAGAAACAAAATTTTTCAAGGCAATAGAAAATCATTGGATAAAAATCAAAATGTTAAACCAGCACCTTTTTTGGGTTATCTGTCAAATAATATAGAATGTGCTTTATGTCATCATAAAGTATGTATTCAATTAATAAATATGGTATAAGTTTTTTACAATAAAACAGAAGGGAGCATATATAAATGAGAAAAATATTCATATGGAACCGTACTTTTCTGGAAGATAATTATTCGGACTAGATTTTTTTAGAAAAAGATATTTCAAAAGAATAGTATAATAATGAAATGATATTTTTAAGGATTAATATATTCTTGGAATGATATTTTTGTAAATAAAATTATCTAAGGAAAAAATAAAGCAGTAAAATAATATTGCAGAACCATATTTTTTAGGAATAGTATAAATTAGGAAAATATCGCTCAGGACTGTAAAAGTCGGGACTACATTTTTGGGTACACATGGATCTATATTAATTGAAATAATAAAGCATAGGATGGGACAGGGCAGTTCACAGAGATATATTCACTAGGTAAAGTATTAAAAAGAAATATTATTTTATTATATTTTATAAAAGTCTAAGACTTACTCACTCGTGAATATTTCCCTATGAATAACTTGACCTGTCTCATTCTATGCTTTATTTTATCGATTAATACGAATCCATGTATATAATATACTCAAAAATGTTGTCCCGATATATACAGTCCTGAGCAATATTTTCCTAATTTACACTATTCCTGAAAATACAGTTCTATTATTACAGTTATTATGTTACTGCTTTTATTTCCCTTAGTTAATTCTGTTTACAAAAATATCATTCCGAGAATATATAAACCCATAAAATATCATTCCGTTATTGTATTATTTCCTGATAATCAATTTCATGAAAATAACAATTCTGGATTTTTTTTTCATATTTCAAATTTTCCTGATTTATATAGCCCTCTAAACAGAACTGTTTGCATATCTTGAATGAGTGTTGGTCGTGGTTCCCCCTCCCACCCACATATACACAGACTACATATAAACAAAAGCGTATTTCTAAACTGCTAATTATGAGCAACATGGCCAGATTGTTATATTAATATCACGGTTTTTACTTTTTAGTGAGGTAGCATGGTAGTGACTGTTTTTGGTTGAGACAAGTCTAGTTTTCTCTTGAAAAAGAGTATAAGTTATTTGCTAGCCACTATTTCTACCCTTGAGATTAATTATTTTTTTGATAAAATTGACTAAAAAACGAATTACATAAATTATTGTATTTTTATTTAATTAAAGTAGYCTGGATTGTTTTTGCCTTTAGATTAAAAAATTATCGATATTTATACAATCTTACCTATACATTTCAATTTTTTTTTTAGCCTAAGTAAAATGACAATTAAAGGTAAACTTTATTTTGTTTGTTGCTAATTCAGTTTGCCATATTCCATAATAATATGGATACTGTAGTTTAGAAAAGATTGGCCAGACTAGTAGACTTATACTGTATAAGAATCATATTTTTCTTCACAGTATAATATTATGTTACTCTCTCTGGGACACACTAATGTAACAAATTTAAGTTCAGCAAACCAATTTTATGTTTTTAGCTCTAATATGAGAGTCAATTGATCTATTATGAAACATAAAGGTTACTGATAATTTATTTTTAAAGTAAGATATATCTTCAAAATAATACAATTTTTAAATATCTACAACTCATCTTAAAATTAAAATATCAATAAAAAAATGTCTTTTATGTTCTTACCTTAAAATTGGATAACAGATTAATTCACTCTAATATCAAAGCTAACAACAAAATAGGTTTGCTGAACTTAAATTTGTTATGTTGCTTGCAGGGCAGTCAGCAGACAAAGAAAACTTATTGCATTGACATCATCTTATTATAATTTATATTTTAACATTAAGAGTACGTAACAGTGGTATTTGTTATCTCTGTCTYACCAGTGCGTAATATAGCAAATTTACGCTCAGCAGAACACTTGTAGCTCCTTTAGTTTAAAAATTACAGTGAATCGACCTATTATGAAACTTGWTGGTAAGAACATTATCTGTGTTTGTATGTTGGTTTTTACGATAATTCAATTTTAAAGTGAGTTACGAGCATATAATATACAGTACATTAAAAATGCTTATAACTCACTTTAAAATTGATTTATCGTAAAAAAACCAACGTACAAACACAGATATTGTTCTTACCATCAAGTTTCATAATAGGTCGATTCACTGTAATTTTTAAACTTAAGGAGCTACAAGTGTTCTGYTGAGCGTAAATTTGCTATATTACGCACTGGTAAAGTGGTAAGACAGAGACAACAAATACCACTGTTACGAACCCTTAATTTGTTTATACAGGATGTCCCGTTAGGATTTACCCATTGCGATATCTCCCGAA